GAGAGAGAGAGAGAGAGAGAGAGAGAGAGAGAGAGAGAGAGAGAGAGAGAGAGAGAGAGAGATTCTTTAAGAGCGCAGCACATGGTGAGTTGGGCAGGTTTCTATGAAACTGGAGCGGATGGGAGGGAGGTTGGCCGTAGTGATTCCTGTTTGTGTCTTTTTTTGGCTCTTTTTGAGTGCGTTTGTGTGTGTATGAGAGGAAAAGTAGAGGGAATGGTGCTCTGATTGAATGAGCACGCGCCTTTGGAGGAAGGAAGAATAAAGTCGGCTGTGAGGGTTTTACGGCGTGCGCGTTTGCTTGCTCATATACGGAATCAGGTGAAAATGAAGAGGGGTTGGTGAAATTGATTTTTTTTTTTTCTTTTTTTTTTTTCTTTCATGTCTGCTGTGCAGTGTGCATCATTCATCCCCCCGAAGATCGAGGTATATCTGATATCTGATTAACATTCTTGCAGACATTCACTATTTGGGCCAAAAGAGCAATTTGAGTATGTTCTCATGAACATTTGTCTTGTATGTGTTTTCGTTTACACTTGCGCTTTGTGTTGACGATCCACATCTTTTTTTTTTTTTTTTTTTTAATCTACATCTTTTCACTAGTTGGGCCGCGCCAATCTCTCTCTCTCTCTCTCTCTCTTCCCCCCGGACCTTCTTCTCTCTCGTTTCCGGTCTCTTCCTCTCTCTCTCCCTGCAAGAGAACAATTTGTGTATGATCTGGCTGAATTCGGATCTGCGGTTCTGTCACACTTGCTTCATGTTGATCATCTGCATCTTCTCACCAAGTGTGTCGCGCCAATCCCTCTCTCTCTCTCTCTTTCTCTCTCTCTCTCTCTCTCTCTCTCTCTTTCTCTCTCTCTTTCTCTCTCTCTCTTTCTCTCTCTCTCTTTCTCTCTCTCTCTTTCTCTCTCTCTCTTCTCTCTCTGTGTCTTCTGTGGCCTCGTCTCTCTCTCTGTGCAAAAGATCAATGTGTTCGCTTTACCGTTGCTTTGTTTTGATCGTCTGCATCTTTTCACTAATTGGGCTGTGCACTAATTTCTCTCCTCTCNTGTGCAAAAGATCAATGTGTTCGCTTTACCGTTGCTTTGTTTTGATCGTCTGCATCTTTTCACTAATTGGGCTGTGCACTAATTTCTCTCCTCTCCTCTCTCTCTCTCTCTCTCTCTCTCTCTCTCTCTCTCTCTCTTTTCCGTCTTCTCCTCCTCTCTCTTTCTCTCCCTGTAATAACTTGCGATGGCTTTTTTTTTTTTTTTTTTTTTTTTTTTAACTCGCGATGTTTATATGTTGCGAAGAAATAAACCATCTGAGAAGTTTTTTTTTTCTTCTTTTTTTGGTCGCCCCGCGCATCTGGTAATTGTCTGTTTACGCTATTTCCTGCCCTTCTATCTCTTTGCGCCGCCGCTTCCGAAGTACTGTGGGCGTCGTCCCCTACTCTCGAATTGTGCGAAAGGAGAGTGAATCTTCCACTAGAACATGGAAAGATAGACCGCCATGATTTTTGTCTTTTGTGCATAATGTCGAGAGTAGTGGAGCGACGCCCTTTTACACGACGTATGTACTCTCTCTCTTCCTATCGTTCTGCTGTCTTGTCGGCGTCTCTGATCGGCTTAGGTGTGGATCTCTCGTCTGTCTATCTGCTGCCTCCTGTCGCTCTCCATTTCTCTCCTGCTCTTCTCCACTTCTCCCGATCTTTCAGTTTTCTTCATCTCTCTCCCTACCCTTCTCTCTCTCTCTCTCTCTCTCTTTCTACCATCCGTTACATGCCTCATTGTTCCACCCTCTCTTGAAGTGTCCCATCTTCCGTGGATGCATCTGACGGCGATAACGTCCAGAGCTGAGTTCAGAAAGTCCTGGTGTGTGAGAGAGCATGCCCTCAACATGTGCGGGAAGCAGAAAGCTGGACTTGTGTCGCCCTTGGATCTCTGTCTGCAAGCTGACTATCCCGACGTTACGTTGTATTTTGTGTCTTTTATATTCTCTGCTTCCCTCCCCCCGCCCCCCCCCCTCTTGGATGCCATGTATTTCATTGAGTTGAGCTGAGAGTATGTTCCCTGCCCCTGCAGCCCTTCTGTCGCTCTCTGTGTTTCGGGCTCTACGGGAAGAAGGAAAACCGAACCCCTGTTTTCCGGTGTTTTCATTTGTTATTAAACCGGCCTTTATAAACCCCCCAAACCTCTAGAACCCTATTTCTCGGTATATTTAAG